TGTAAAAATATATATTTCACGGCAAAACTGGACACGGTTCGACACGGTATGTTCCACGAAGTGGTTCTTGTTGTAATGAAGGCGGCGATGTTTATTGATCGTTTCACCCATTCCCATGAGATTCAAAAGATAAAACTGAGATCGGTGGCCATGTTGGAGGAATGAACAATAGATACTAATGAGAAATCCTTTCAAAGTTCCTCCAAGATACCCGATGTGACGTAACTTGACAACGAAGAATTTGAAATTTCTTGAACACTTGAGATAAATTTTTATTTGGTCGTGAAATGCAAAAATAACTAGTCGAGAAGTTATCCTTCAACAGCATGTTAAGAGTGAAGTAATAATGTAGCAGATGTTATGTGATGGTGACATGAATAATCTTTAAAGCTTGACTCTACCATTAAAGATTAATTATTCACCATCACACAGTAGTATTCGGTCGCATCTGCTACATTTTTAGGTACTTAACTGCAAGAAATATTTAGTTCGTTTTGGGTCCCGAAAAATGCGATTGCAAATTAATGGTCGAACTAGCGCAACGAGATGACATGGTTGAGACATAAGACACAAGCTAATTAAAGACAAAAGAAAACAACAAAGAATTATCAAAGATTGATAAATAGAGGATATTACATGGGCGCGCGGAGATACGGATTTTATCTTCGGTTTGAAAAGATCTCTCACGAGTGAGCGTAGCGACGAGAAGGTAAAACTCGTATCTCCAAGCGAATGTTTATTAATATTCAATCTTCATTCAATGTACTAAATCCATGCGCGCGATTGGCTTAAATCAATATAATTACATATGAAAGCAAATTATGTCAGTAAAATACCTTTTTTCTTGCTTCCACTATATAGAGAAACCTCGAATGTGTTTTTTCACTAGTGCTATTTTCACTATTGAAAATAACATCACTAGTGAATCGTCAACTTTACGAAATGGACAAATATAGGTATTATATATTAAGTGTCAAAGTTCACTTTTCCTAGTATCTTATTGGTCGAGAGTGTACCACGTGAAAGTCACAAAATTTTACTGTTTCCCGGCAACTGTCCACCAGCGGTCAATAATATGTTGTGGACCGTCAATAAGTACAAAGTCGCAGAAAAACACTCTTCAGTGTCGTGAAAATGCCACATTTACGGACGGTGAATTCCAAAATTGTTTTGAAACATTTAATTTCGTCTACAAATAGTTATTGTATTCATTATGTTATTACATTGATTGATTTTAGTGACATTTGACTATTTGTATTGCCATTTTTCAGTCATTTTATCAAAATCTTTAATAAAAACACTTCATTTATTTACGTTTTTTGCTCTCTTTGACACTTGATATGATAATAAAGCACTTATTTACTGGAAACCTCGGGAAACAGTATGTATTGCGGTCCCTCGACCGCTGATGTTTCCCTCAGCTTCGCTTCGGGAAACATCAGCGGTCTCGGGACCACAAAACATACTGTTTCCCTCGGTTCCAGTAAATAAGTGTTAAGTATTTCATGGATAACTAAACGACAATTTTTTTACGCACATTAATTGAGGGATCTTTCAATTGATGGAGGTGATTGTTACTAAACTTCAGGCGTCATTTGCTTCTTCTCCTGTTTTTGAAAAGAAATGATAGAACACCCATAGTATGGAGAATGAATTTAATCGCTCCCTAAGTCAACTAGTCAAGTCCTTCAAAACCATGGCCATTCAACTCCAGCTAACTCCTTTTTGTGTTATCAAACGCTGCATCTCTGTTATATATCTCTGTACCTTTGTCATCTTTTGGCTTTAATATACCTTATATAATTATTAAAACTCATTATTAAAATAAATCCCCTTTACAGACTATGCATGATATATAGACTGATACATTTTCTTCGATATCAACACCTTACTCGCCATACTCCCTTTACAACCATGTACTAAGGAGRTCTAAGTAAGTGCGACTCCCTCGTTTTTCTTTGTATATCATCCATTTTCATTGAAAGCAGATTTGGATAAAACTTGATAAATAAAAAATGTGTTTAATTTAAAGTTAAGTTGACGCCTTCTTTAGAGTCCGACTTTTATTTCAATTGATAAAAAAACTAGAAAATCCATAAAAAAATATATTGCCAATTTTCGTCTTTTTATGAAAAGTCCTTCAGGTACTTCTAATTTAATTTACAGGACCTCGATGAAAAACATGAATTAAAGCTAAAACAGTGTTTATTGATTTAATCTAAGTTTTCAATTTTCAATCATAACAAAGGAAGAGTTTGGGATGACTTGAAAACAATTACTGTAAATCAATATACATAGAAGAATGAAAAAACAACAAAACTCAAGAAATCCAATATAACTAAAAAGATATATGCTTGCTTGTACACACCATATATCACACAACTTGTTTAAGTCCTCTGAAAATATTGTCAGTGCTTTACTAATAAGTGATTACCAGACGTCGTCAGCATCACTGAGATCTCATAAAAAGAACAAACTAATATAATTCACAATACAGCACGGCTGGGGAGCGAAAATATTTGATTTTTGAATTCAACTGGACATTTCCTATATTGTTCAGTGTTTTCAAAGTAGCTCTACAGTCGGCAATTGCCAGAGGAATCTTGAATGTACTTCACGACTTTGGGGAAATTGGTTACTTCACCCCACCTCGCGATGTAGTATTAATGTAGGCACCTAACCAGTAAGATGAATGATATTTACTAATAAATAATGTCATTACCACAATGAAGCACCTATTTGGTAGCATCAATTCGGCGCATGCGCTCTGTAATTCTGGTTTTTTTAAAAGTGCGACCTGGATGAAAATAATGTGAGATGGTCATTTACTAATAAGTTGAATACAGCTTGCGATAAGTATTTATTCTAGTATCTATTCGTGGTTATGGTCCCACGACTTATAAACTTGTTACCGAAAATTCGGCTCATGCCTTTTGAAATCCTAGCTTTTGTTCCAGCATGATTTAGATGAAAATGCTCTTTGAGCATAAAATCCATTCATTGATGATATTAAAAAAGTTTGTTTTGAATACCTCCAACAGAACAGAAAGGTCATTTAGACGTTATATAGTTTTCGTTTTAATATATCTTGCGTAATTATCAAAACTCATTTCAAATAATTCCCCTGAAACTTTATCATCATAAACTATGCATGACATATACTGATATATATTCTTGGATATCAACACCTTACTCCATATTCTCTACAACCAYGTACTAAGGAWGYTCMAGTAAGTGTATATAAGGTCTCTATGTTTATTAGCTGCATACGACTCCTCCGTTTTTCTTTGTATGCCATATTTTCTTCTGTATCCATTTTCATTGA